GCCCGGCGTGTCCTTGCGGTGACCCCGCGGCCTACCGCGGGCCGCCCCCGCCGCTCCGGCCGCCGCCCCCGGGACCCCACGCGGGCACTGCCTCAGGGGAAAGCGGGCACCTCCGGGGGGCGGCGGCGCTTTCCCCGCGCCCCCCGCCAAGGTGACATTGATGGAGGCTGGGGGTCACCTCCGCAGCACCAGGGCGCCGGCTACTCCCGGCTCCGCTCCAGCTCTGCGCCAGCCCTCACCCTCCTAATTTACACCCCAATTAATTTTATTTATAATATTAACGCTTTGTTAACGCCCCGGTTAATAGGGAGAGGAGGAGGAGCAGCCCCAGGCAGCGTGGTGTGATGATGGCCACGGTGGCATGGCTGGAGACGGAGACTGCAGAGAATAAATACACTGCCTGTGCATCGCAATTAATACCTAATTAACTTTTGCATCGCAATTAATACCTAGTTAACAGACACTAATAATGCTGGGAGCCTTGTGTGTGCCTCTGCTGCAGCACGTGTGAGTTAAACAGCTGCCTTAGGGAGCCTGTCGCTGTGTCTTTTTAAATAATAAGCATAGGATTACTTAGATGCTGCTCATCACCTTTGGTCTTTTGTTGATTTAAATCCACTAAAAGTCTTTGCTCGCTGTTCCTTTGAGCTGCTGAACCCGGCTGCTCCTGGGCCTTGTTTCCAATAGGCTCTGTGTTCTTCTTTTCCATGGTTTTGTATTACAAACTCCACACTTAACACTGCTGCGACCCCTTCCTGGGGGGCTTCTGTTGCTGCAAAACCTTCCCTGTGTAATTCCTGGGCTCCTTGCTCTCAGATTTTCAGTAAATTAATGTTTTTCTTCATGTGTGTTTTCCCTCTGTGCTTGTTACCAGAGAAAACTGACCAATTCTGGCCCTCACGGAGAAGCTTTAACATGTTTCTGTGTCATATTAGGTGATTTTAGGCTTCTTATGGCCTATTGAGTTTACTTTAGAGTAAAGGTACTTGCCCTTTGGTTCTTCCTTGAGTTGGGAATCTCTGCCTGGATAGGTTGGCGTGGCTTGGCTGTCACACACGTCATGAGTGTGACACTGACCTTGATGGACCCCGCTGAAACTCAGGGCAGAGGGAACGCTCCGAGTCCTTTAACCAGATACAAACATCCATGTGAAAAAGGAACACGGCAGCAAATGAGAAACACACCCTGGAAATCTTAATTCTTATGGTCTGTGTTTGCCTCCTGGATCAAGGGAATGGTTTTGTTGAAGAAAAACTTTAGATTTTGACTTCAAGATGGCATTTGAACTCTTCAATTTAGGCTTCAATTTAGGCAAATCTCCAGCTGAGATTTGCGGTTTCTCTGTAGGATATTGGTTTTTTTTCCTTTGAAAAAATAGGATTCTCCTTCAACCAGCTGAAACCTGAGGGGTTTTCAGCAGTGTCCTAGGAGCAGGAGCATTTACAGAGCCCTGCTTTTGCTCTGAGTTCAGCTGTGCAGGTGATTTGTTGCAGGAAGCAGGGTCAAAGGTCTGCTTTGGAAGTGGGGAAAGGAGGGGGAATTTCCCTACAGAAGCCAAAAGAGCATTTTAATTCTGTCTTGGCCTGTTGTTTGCTTTTCCATAGCTAAAATAAATAAAACTATTTTCATGCTTCCATTGCATAAACCAGTACTGCAGCTGAAATGTTGGACCGGGTTAAATTTTGTTAAAAAAGCAAATTGCCTGCTAATTGGGCTGTCATTAATGAAAGCAAAGAGAAGTGTATCAGCAAAAATACAACCCAGTTCTGTGTAGGTTTTTTTGTTTGTTTGTTTTTGGGGGTTTTTTTGTTTTGTTTTGGTTTGGTTTTTTGTTTTAAATAAAACCCTGAAGTTGGTCACTGTGAGTGGTTCATGCTGGGTTAAGAAAGAAAAAGTCAGGAGCTAAATTTGACTTCTGTGAAGCAGAGCTTTGAGCTCCAAGGTCGTATCTGGTGTGTGACCTCTCTGCAAATATTAGTGGAGTGAGATTAGCAGTGGGGAAAGGAAGCACCAGGCTTGTGGTCCTTTAGTTTGGTTCCCTTGGGAAACAGTTCCAGCCTTTGTGGGGTAAAAAAGACAACTTCATACAAAAAACCAGCAATTTGTGATAGTAGTAAGTGAAGAAATGAATTGATGATCATATCAGACTAGTTTGTGCATTAGCATACAATCTGCTTTTGTGATTAATTATCAAATATTAATGCAATTGAAACCTTGAGATCCAGGAGTTTTCTCTTGGATAGACACAGTGATCTTTTTTTTTTTCTTCCTCCAGCCCTTCTGCTGGAAGGAATATCTCATCCCTTTGCTTTTGAGAGCCTCTGTAGGAATTGCATTTTGTTGGTGAAAGATGTGGATGTTAAAGCTTCTCAGTCTCACTTGGCTGTGGGAAGAGGGAGAATTCCTGTATTTTACAGAAAAAAAAGAAATGCCAGAAAACCTCTTAAGGACTGGTATCCAGAGGTGGTTTTTGTGTGTCTGATCAATGCTCTGGGAACTTTGGAAGTCTGATAGGGAACAAAGTAGGCACTTTGCCACAACATAAACCATAATATTTAATTAGTTACCCAAGGCTCATCCAGGACTGATCCGGAGTGACTGTAACAGGGGAAATCTGTATTTTACAGCTTCTGGTCTCTTGGTCAGGACTAAAGTAGTGTTATCTTCCTTTTGCTCTTAGTTTGTTCCTTTTTTTCTTAATTCAGCTGTGCTTCCTGCCCGCTGCTACTCTCATGGGTCACAAGAGTCAGATGAAGAATTTGATGCTCGCTGGGTGACATATTTCAACAAGCCAGATATTGATGCCTGGGAGCTCAGGAAAGGTATGTTGAAGAACAGGGATGCATAACCTGGAGTAAATAGAAGTTCTGTGACCAGAAATAACTTTTGTTGGTGTTTTGTGCACGCACGTCATCCACTCCATCCCTGGAAGTGTCCAAGGCCAGGCTGGACAGGGCTTGGAGTAACCTGGTCTAGTGGAAGGTGCCCCTGCCCATGACAGAATGGTGGACTAGATGATCTTTGAGGTCCCTTCCAACCCAAATCATTCTGTGATTCCGTGATCTTAACACCTGGATGGGAGGGAGAGTAACATTTGCTCCAAGGAAAGTGTGTTTGAGCTCTAATATGCTCATTTTTCTTTGGATTTTTGCTAATGGCTTGGCCATAAACTCCCTACAGACTTTTTGTCTGGCTATCTCGTTTGCTGTGGAGTTGCCAAGTTTTATTGAACTTCCCCAGCTAGGCCTTAAAAATGTGATTGCATAAGGAGATAATTACAGCCAGAGGGATCATTGCAGCAGCACCTGGGGTTTTCTGTCGGAGAGAAAGGGAGTACACAGCAAGGGGGGGTTCCTTTGGAGAGTGTGACAAGCTGGTTCCAAGTTCCCCTTGGTGTTTCCTTGTCTCTACAGGCATAAACACACTGGTGGGTTACGACCTGGTCCCGGAGCCCAAAATCATCGATGCGGCTCTGAGGGCCTGCAGACGGTTAAATGACTTTGCCAGCGCTGTCCGCATCCTAGAAGTTGTAAAGGTGGGTGGAAGTGCTCTCTTGCCATTGCTGGAGCCTGGCAGCAGGGATGCTTTCCCTGGCTTTTTCCTGCTGCAGAGGGGAACCTCACTTTTCCTGCTGCCAGAATCAATGGCTCCATGATGAGCACAAAGCTTCTTGAGGGACTGAGAGAAGTAACTCAGAAAGTTCTCTTGGAAAACACCTGAAACCTGAATCCAGCCTTGCCAGGGAGTTGGGAGAAGCCAGGACTTTTACTTCAGCCCTAGAGGCCTGGAGCTCTGCTCTGCCACAAGGGCTGAGGTGGGAGGCTTTGGAGATGTGTGTGTTGAAGTAACTCTATTCTTTGATTTTGGGTTTTTTTTCAGGACAAGGCAGGACCCCACAAGGAAATCTATCCTTACGTTATCCAGGAGCTTAGACCAACTTTGAGTGAACTTGGAATCTCCACTCCAGAGGAACTGGGCCTGGACAAAGCATAAACCTTGTTGGTAAGGTTTGATGTTGCTTCCCAGACTCTTGGCATAGGACTCCTGTACCCCTGGCAAAGACAGCATAGGCAAGACCCAATGTGCTCTAATCCCAGACTAAAATAAAGCCCTAAATAAAAATCCTTGTGGAAGTGAAGCCTCTTAACTCAGTTTCCTCAGGAGATGGCCAGTGTCATATTCTTTTTTTAAATATTAAATATAGAATAGAGATACTGTGTGTCAGACTGCTGCAAGTAGTGCTTGATTCTGCATCTTCTGAGTCCTTTTCCTCTTCCTTGCCCTGGGATACAATGTCTTGGTGCCAGGGGTCCTGAATCAGCCGTGCTGGGAATGCAGTACCTGCATTTTTGAGCTGAGGGTGGTTAAACAAGGCTTTGAAGGTAAAAGGGATGGAAATAACTCATTTGGGACCTCATGGAAACTCTGTGGAAGTTCTAGGCTACTTCTTTAACTTCTTTAATGGCTTTTTTTTTTTTAACTTGTTCTTTTCTCTTCCAGGTGCACTAGTCAAGCGTTTCACTGATGCTACCTGACTGTACACGGTCACCTGGAAAGACAAAGTTCAAATCTTACCTGAAATAACTTCTTCCTTTATTGAGTCACAATGGAAGTGCTGTGAAGTCCGGCCTAATAAAGGAAAAACTGGTTTGACTGACGTACCAGCACCTCATGTGGTTATTTCCTGCTGATTTTGTAGGGAAAAAGGAGGAGCAAACCATCAATGTGCTCTTACGAGCTTCTGTGTCCAGAGCCTTCCCAAACACCTGGCTCTGGGAGGGGAGGAGAAGGTGTTTGGAGATCATGCTTCCTGTGTGCATAGTTTTGGGGAGAACAAGGCCCAGGAGGAGGCATTTCCTTGGGATGATGTTCAAAGCTTCAGACGTGGGTCATTGTTTGCAAGGGTCATGTCCTCACGGGGAAGGGAATAATGTGTTCTGGGATAGACATTGTCCCTGTTTTCCATTCAGCTCTGGCCCAGACAAGGCTTTGGGAAAGAAAAAAAACCAACAAAAGTGGGTGGAAGGAGAAGGGAAATATCTTAAATCTGTTGTTATTTTCTTCCTAGAAGAGGGGAATTTCTGGGAAAACAATTTGTTTCTGCACAGTGCACTCAGGGCAAGAGCCGTGCGGGGCAGGATCTCTTGCTGCCCGGCCCCGCTGTCCCGTTCCCGCTGCCCCGGCCC